ATTTAACAACCTTTCTATGTGTAGATTCTTTCCTTTTCCTCCCCCCAAATGAATGTTTTACTCCAAACCCAGAAAGCTAAGGTGAAGGAGCCATATTAAATGCTGAAAACATAATTTAATACACAAATAATTGTTTTTTTATAATAGCATAATATTTAATGCTGCATGATATGCATTCAAAATTTTATGTAATATTTTGTGTATTGAAGTAACTCACTTATAAAATGAATACATGCTGTAGTGGATTCTAACAAGAGCCTTGATGCACCTCTGCTAGAATTGTCATTTGTATCAAGAATGAACTTGTGTTGGAACCAAACTCTAGTTATTTTCCAATTTAAATCTAGTACTGTATTTACAGTTCAATTTTGCATTACATGCTATTTATATTCCCAAAAATATCTGAACAAATTATTAAATCTGCATTTGCTTAGTGGCATTTCTGAGATCATTTATTGAAAATTATTACTACTTTGCTACTAAAATACTGGTAGCATTCATTTTGAAATCTTTGGCTTTAAATATTATTATTGTTTTTTGTTATTTGCATCTCATCATCTGCAATTTAAATGGCCTTCAGTCATTAATAAAAAGTTATATGTATATAATAAATAAATTTTTATAATATATGTGTGTAATAATAAATTGGTCTGTGGAGAGAATTTAGTAGAACCATTCACTGATATTCAAAGTTGGAGGCTGCAGTGTTGTACATAACTGGAAATGGGGAACATTCACAACTCAGTTGGTAATCTAAACATATTCATATTACTTGTTGATTACTCTATTCAGGCACATCACAATGGGGACAATCTGCAGCCCACAATTTTAATTATGATCCATTAAATTTTTAATAATGAGTAGATAGAGAGGTTTATATAGAGCCAAGCAAGAGACATCAATTGCCATTTAAGTGTCTTTCAAATTTTATGTTTTTCACACACACACAGATATATATATATATTTATATATAGAGAGTGTGTTTCATAACAGTCAGGCTAAACACTAAAAGTACATTCTGCTGGCAAAAATAGTTTTAAAAAAAAGTCTTATGAACATAATACTTTATATATTAAGGTTGTCTTGTTACACTAAGCCTGCATGCACTCACTTGTCATTGTTATTGAATATCCCATAATTCATAAAGTATTGTGTTGTACACACACACATTCAAGTTTGCATTACAAACACAATTTATTCTAGGATAGCATTCATAATGTGGGATCTTGTTTCCCATAGTTTATTATAAGAATAATTTTAATCTGTTAAAACCTACAGCTAAACATTATAAAATGTTCCAAAAAGTATTAACATCATCAATGTGACAAATAATGTGTGTTCACAATTAAAAGAGGTACCTATTCTCGATGAAAAACCCCCAGCCCTTCCTGCTAGCTCAACATGGGCTAAGTGAAAGGACTTGAAGAAGCTTTTTTGGTTTTCAGCCCTGTTGGGTATATCTATTTCTCATTTTGCAACCAAAGAAAATTGAGAGTTGTGTAAAAGATACCATTGGGGTAAGGTGCATCTTGCATCCAGGAAGCTTTGTCTTTCTCTTGTGTACAAAAAGTAATGCAATTATGTTGTTTTTTAATGCTAACTCAAACCTTGTTAAACCTAGAATTCACTTATTAAGTTTTAAAACAAAAATAAAAAGACAACCAGTCTCAATGCCTTCTGTCCCAGGAGTTTGGCAACATTAAATCAGCATTGAAAAGCTTGGAATTTGCATATTTAATAGTAGTTGTGCTCACAGTTTTTCAATTTAATCTGAATTTACTGAAAGTGGAGAATTGAACTGTCTTTGGGTTTTTTTAGTCCAAAAGGGACATTAGTCCCAAATAGGATATCAGTCTTGAAACTGCATTTTGCATTAAAGCACTTAAATATGTTGTATTGCTTTTCAAATTGTTGCTGCCAAATATTATTACCCTTTATTATATTTAAAGAAATTAATGAACAATCTGTGTGAATATATCTATGTTTCTCTCATTGTGAAAAAGCAATGGCACATAGAGCCAGCCAACCAGTTTTGAATAATGTAGTCCTCTATTCAAACATAAGCAACTAGAAGCCCAAATTTTGAATTTGTTTTATTATCTATTTCATATTTTGTAAATCTTTAACATTTTAAATTTTTAATTAATAAACTGGATGATTTCAAACCTAATAGTGGTAATACTGTACAGAATAAAACATTTTTATCTCCAGTGTGCGAGACTGTCTATCAGAAATTCTAAAGATATGCTGTTTTTAAGTATTATGTGATTTTGCTGTTGTATTGAATTTTATGTGGTGTAAACTCCAAGAACATGATATTTAATAAAGTAAACACACAAAACATTAATAATATAAAGACCAAAAAAAATTTTTTTTTAAAGCGATCTTAGTAGAGAACTAAACATTAGTATGATAAACTGAGAAAAAGACTGGGAGGGGGAACAGAAAACTGAATGCCGACACCTGACCCTGCATCGAGGATTCTAAATGTGTATTGCTATGCTGCTGTTAAAATTTTTGTAATTTTACCGTTGAATTACATGTGACATAAGTGCAAAGAAAATGATGCTTAATAAAGGGGCCGTTAGTTGAAGGGAGTGTAACAGCAGACTGGTGGATTGCAAGCACCGTTAAAATCTGAAACCTAGATTTTTCTACTTTTCGGGGAGGGGGCAGATCCTGGTAGTCCTTTTTTTTTTTTTTTTTTTTTTTTTTTTTTTTTTTTCAGGATGATCCTGAAATAGCATATGACACTGCCATTGTCATTAAAAGATCATCCATTCTCTTCATGACTCAGCTGCATTAGACAACTTCTGTGTGCATGGTTGTGGTGTGGAATTTTTCCTATTCATATGGTCTTTGCTACTTCCAGTGGGCATAGACAGTTTGTGATGTAATAACCTGATGGATATAATCAGTAATGATCTCTCTTTTGTACCATAGTAGCAAAAAAGAAATCACGGAAATTAATCAGGGTTCGTAGTGGTCCTTACAAGTGTTTATATGTCCTTATATTTGAAGATAAAAAATAAAAGCCCTTTATAGGTGCTTACTTTTTCTCTGAAGCACTTATTTTTTCGTTTTTAGTGCTTATTTTTTTGCTTTTAGTGCTTTTTTTTTTTTTTTTTAACAAACGCACATTTTGTCCTAAAAACTTTTCTTCCTTATATGGATCGTCAGATGGTGAATACTCCCAGAAATCGCTTTTCACCCCTTTCTCTGCATTAACATAACCTTTGGTGTGCGCAAGTACAGACAGGTGCACGTTGTTCTATTGGTCAAAGAATTGCAAAGCAGTAGAAAATCTGGTAAATTCTGTATTCTTTTGCTCCCCAATACTACACACGTTTGAATTTCTATCAAGATTTTAATCATTTACATTCTTGTTCCATGTGGTCAGTTCATATTCGCATTTATTATGATCGTATATGTATGAATATTTATAATATGTTTGCAGTAACTGCTGAAATATAGATAAACTTCAAAAATGGGTGTGTTTTAACACAGATTAGTTTTCTAAGAAATAGTATTCAGAATGGCATAAATAAAGTGAAAGTAATCAAATAGTCAAAATAGTGGAGGTTTCCCCCCCCCCCCAATGCATTAAATAGTACTCAAGTTGGGTGTTCTCCCCTTTCTCCACAAAATCTCGAATAATGAAACCGTTACAGTTCACAGCAAAGCAAGCAACAGACTTTTTTTTTTTTTTTGGTCACTTTACAACCTGGATTGAATAAGACTAAAAGTTCTGTGGTCTACCAGTCCAAGCAAAGAATGATTCTATTCCGGAAATTTAATGCAGTCTGTTCAAAATTAGAATGAAAAACACCTCATATTGGTAAATCTCTTTATTAATCAATATGAGTGTAGTATGGATATCACGCGGAGCGCAATGTGTCCTGCTCAATGATAAATATGTATGCCGCATGGGCGCATGACGGTCCGAATACCGGCAGCTGTTGATTCTGATTGCGTAACAGCACATGCAGAAGAATTAAGGCTCACGTATTGCACAATAATATTTGCCATATTTCGCAGAGTAAAAGAGCTTTACTGTGCTTGCTAAGCGGATTATTTTTCAGTTCCATTTGACTATTTTTTATATAATTCACATATTGAAATGTCAAAAGCATTATTTAGCTGAAAAATCTAAGAAACGGCTACAATCTACCCCCTTTCCTCTTTAACCAGTTATGCTCGACTATTCAGAATTTTCAGATATTCGGCAATTTCCGAGTATACTGGTTAGTTAAGCTTTTACTTTTAAAGAATGACTGCATGAAGCAACTTCCCGTCTTCTGATTTCAGAAAAGTTTCTTTTTTTCCTTATTTTTACTTAAATTACTTTGCTTGCAATATCTGTTAAGGGAAAACTTGTTATACATTGAAAATTTAGAAAATGTTCAGAATTTTGATTTAAGTTAAATTATTTAAATATTAATAAGATTAGAAAAATAAATTGTATTTATTTTTAGGTGTCAAGCTAATATAATAAATATGGCTTATTATTATTTATTTTCTCTATTTTAAACTGAAATTCCATCATTAAATCTTGTAATATAATTTAGTTCTGGATAGTTTTTTTTCCCTCTCATTGTAAACTAGTTCTGTAAATTGAACTGTTATTTAAAAATTAAAAAAAAATAATAATGTAATTGTTTTCCATGGTTGAGTAATTCTCATTCTCTCCTAATAAATACTGAATTTTTTTTTTTTTTTTTTTTTTTACTATTAACTATTTCAAGCTTAAATGCTTTATGGTGATTTGATTTTTAAAACACTACATCTTATACTAAATACAACTGTTTGTTTTTTTTATATTTTATGTAATTTCTCTGTAATTTTATTTTGGTTTCAAAATTTTAACTGTTATTTTGGGATACCTGTTTACCTAATTGTTTGTAGTCAAGTAAATCTGAAAATATATTTATATGCTATTATATTTAAATTTAGTATTTTAAATCTAAATCTGCCAATTTTAATTTTTTAATATTTACCAGGAAAGAATCCAGACCAAGACCTAAGTCTGCTTATGTGCCTATGAATAGTGAGCTATCTTCTTTAATATCCATGGCCAATAGTGCTGCAAACAAAAGAAATTCTCATATCTATTCTGGTAAGATTACATTTTGTCGATGAAAAGATTTTTTTTTTTAAAGTATTGTTACACATTTTGTATTTTGTTAGCTATATTTATTTAGAATCATAATTAAAATTGTTTTATTTCCCCGTGCAATGCAGCACGAAATGAGTTTTAAGAGAAAGCTATGCCGAAAAATTAAAAATATAAGAGCATGTTCATTTAACATTGTATAAATTTATCTTTTTTCTTTGAATAAATGTATTTGGCTACTATGTTAGATGTAACCGTAATTCTCCTCTATTGGTTTCTAGAAATTTCGAGAAGCAAAGACTAGAAATTAATTACTAGAACTCTCTTGCAACCAACTGAAAGCTTTAAAAAGCTAGAGAGGAACATCTCACATCAGTTGTTGTTGTTTAGCTAGCTTTTGTTATTTTCTTGCGAATTTGCAGTGAGGTCGTATTAGCTTTCTCTTTGCATTGTGTTGTATTTTAACGTTTTGAGTAGTTTAAAGTGTAGCTACTGATTATATTGCATGATATTGTGATTTTGTAGGAATATCTGTGAGGAAATTCCAGCATTTTGTTATATTCCTTACAATTAGAATAAATTTTATTAACCTTTTATCGGACTTGTGCATTCAATCTATTAAGAATCCGTGTGCAAGAGTATTATAAAATATATATGCTTCTTTGTTATGTAAATCAGTGTTTCTTAAACTTTTTTCAGTCGTGACCCCTTTTTATCATAGAGATTTTTTCGCGACCCCAGGACCCATAATATTTACAAAAATTTTGTGCAACCCCATAAGTATTGTGCGAATCCGACACATGCGTGAGTGAAACTGTCAATTTTTTCACTTGTACTGTAATATACAATTGCAGTTTTAGGTTATTAAGTTTAAATAAGTAACAGACGAAATGACAGCGTTACGTGCAAAGCAAGGAAAACGAACGTTAAAAAGAATACATTGAAACTTTTTTGTTTTTTACTTTGTCTGTATTGTCTTATCTTTATCTATTTTCAGATACATTGCGTAAAATATTTGGTAATTGTAAAATTATTAATGCATTCATACTTTCTAATATCAAAACAAAGAAATCAGGAGGGTCGCCAAGAAACCCTGGTGTAAATCAAAATATAATGAGTAGAACATTAAAAATATGTCTGTCATGCTTACTGTAAATGAACAAAAAGTAAATGACTAAAAAATTAGCATAAACTACAGCAAAATATCTGTGATGCTTTTTAATTGTGCTCTTTTTTATAAAAATGTTAAATAAATGGAATATATTGGGAATTTTATTGCTAATAATCTTTCTCTGATATGTATTTAATTCTCAAGTACTACCAAAAGTTGCTCTATATCTCCTAGCGTTATTCTCGTTTCTATTTATCTGTGTTTATATATCCAACACAAAAATGGATGCTGATTAAAAAATTATAAGCATCGTATTAATGTGCAGTTTTTAGTGCATATGTATTATTATTTAATTCAAAATTTAATTAGAATATTAAACTTCCTCATTAGTTACCTGCCTGGTTTTTTGACTTGTTCTGTTTATTAATATTTAATAATTTATAATAACAAACTGCAACTTCCTATTCCTTGTATTGTAAGCCATATTGGAATAATTGCTTCTGCCAAGTGTGACTTAAAATAATGTTATTAAATACACCATATCTTTAAGCTTAAGATTAATGAAGAAAACTTTGACTCAAGTATTAGAAAATTGCTTTGTAGTTATTTTTAAAATATTAAATGAACAGAGAAAAGTTTTTTCCTGAAATATTTGAAATATCATGTTAAAAGAAGTATTATCAATTGAAACTGATATAAAATGCTTTCTTAAATATGAATGTCTTCAAATGTACCCATTATTTTAATATGTCTCTGGCCACATTCTAAGTTATGTAATTGCAAGCAGATAACATTATACTAGAAAATTTCACCTGAATTGACATTCTGTCATTGAAAATATTTACAGATGTATTTAATTTTCAGACTCAAATATTTTTACAGTTTCAGTTGTTTCTCTTGCACTGGTAATTTAAAAATAAATAGGGAAATGTTAAGTAGAAATCAAAGTTTTTATAAGTTTTAAGAATATATTTATATGCAAATTCAAATCATAAATATTTTATCAGGAGCTCTGTTTTGTTTGCTTGCTTGTTTAGTTGATTTTGGCAAAGCATATTTGAATCTCCTGCCAAAAGGAAGGAATGCCTTTACAAAGACTTTCTAAAGAAACTGGTATTCACATTTCATTAAAAAAAATGCCCATGTGTATCTTATTAGATTTTAGGTGAACATTTGAAGTCATGTAAAAGATCACACATTAGCTGAGTTCCCCTTCATCCTGCTTTTTTGCAAGATTAAGCTAATAAAAGTTTAATAATAATAATAATAATCTTCAGCTAGGAATTTGCTTAATTTTTAGCTAAAAGTAACTAAACTTTTAGCTAAAAGTAACTAACTTTTAGCTAAAAGTAAAGTTTGTCATCAAAATTATTAATAGTACTGGTTTATTAATACTTTTAATGAAAATTTATTAATAATATTAATGATAAGGTGTATTAGGTGTATTATTGTCAAATTCAACATAAATTGTATATATATTTATCTGTTTAATTAAATTCTGTTAATTTTTAGGTAGGGAAATGCAAGAGTTTGATCTGGATTCTTTGAATAGTGCTAGTACTTCTGCATCATCTCATGACAGGCCCAAGAGCCCTAGTAATTGTTTCTCATCTCAGAGAAATGCAAATTTACAAGTTCCTGAAGGTAGTGGACCATCAAGCGATGGAGCGTCAGATACAGCTTCTAATGGTTCATCTGTGGCAGCTGCAGATTACACTGGACCTAAACTATTTGTGAAACCTACTGCTAAATCAAACAGGGGAATAATAATAAATGCCATAAACACTGTGCTAGCTGGAGCAGTGAATGCCGACACAAAAAAGAAAGTTTTAGAGGTATTTTTCTGTTTTTACTTTTCCCGTAAAAGTGTGTATTTTGCCCAGTTAGATCGTGATGCAAAGTAAACTTACTGTTAGTAAAAATTATGAAATTTCAAAATCTTTTGTAGTGTTAGTTTAAAATAGCATTACATTGCTAAAGCCTTTCTCATTAAATATGTTGTTGTTATAATTAGTTTTCAGTTGTATAGTTTTGTTAATTTAAAACTGATCTCATAAAAAATAATTTAAACTTATTTTGGGGGGAAAGAGGAGCTAAATTGTAAAGGTTTAGCACTTTTCAGTGTAATCATGTACTGTTAGAAACTCTGTTTCTTCATATGATGGACCCATTTGTGCAACATTTGCAACTAGGATGGATTAACATTGCCTCACTTTTATTTAAAAGTAAGATTGCTGTATAAGGAAAATACTACAAAAACTAAGTTGATGCTAAGAAAGGCGTTCCAAAATTATTTGAATTTCCTGAAAAAGAGGATTTTTTATTAATCTTTGAATATTAGATCTGTTATCCAAAGAAATTCACTGACATTTGCAATGATTTTGTTGAAAGGCTTTCAGAGAGAGGTAGCCAAATTTCTACATTAATTGTCTGAAATAAGTAGACTTCAGAACTCCTCACACACATATGTTTAGAAAATTTTCACTTAAAAATAAAGCTGTATCAATGATGATAGAACCATTTCATAAATTTCTCTGAAATCATTTATTATTTTGAAGAACCTGAAGGGGATAATACATGATCATATCTAAAATTTCAGACTTTTGCAAAACAATATTAAGTTATTGAAATGACAAAAATAATATCATGTGGCTTATAGTCAATGAAGAGGTCTTGAAATTCATTGAGTACCTGAAAAGTAAAATTCCAAGATGCCAGCTCAAGAAGATAAAAATTGACTTATAACAGTCGTACTTTGAAATGTAATAATCATAATGATTTAAGTTTTTTTAATTATTTTATATTTTTATCTTATTAATATTTAATATTTGGTTGGTAATTTTTTTAGGAAATTAATCGATCTGAGAGCAAGCATTTTCTAATTTTATTTCGTGATGCCGGTTGTCAATTCCGAGCTCTTTATACATATAACCCTGAGAGAGAAGAAGTGTGCAAGCTATATGGAATAGGACCAAAACATGTTACGGATAAAATGATGGATCGATTTTATAAGTAAGCATTAAAGTGTTGAATATTCATAAAAATTGATGTTTTAATTTTATCTTGGTTTACAGAATTATTTATTGAGCACCAAAAAAAGTGCTTTTATATTTTAAATACTTAAATGAATGGTTGTCTCTTTTTCCATTTTTTGTGTTATTGATAAAAGAAAATGCATAAGAATAATTAATTTTAAGTTAAATATTCATTATATTCATTTCTGATCTGGTATATATGTATCTGTGGATGTGTTGTCATTTAGACAGGAACATAAAAATACTCCTTTGGGGGAGGGCAAATATATCTGAGTAAATATTTGTATAAAGCATTGAAATGTGGTTATTGGCCTAAAATTACAGATTGTTGTAGAAAACCTCAAATCAATAGCTATGTTAATCTTAATAATGAAATTTATGTGTTTAAATGTTACTTATTATATCTGGCAGACTAAATAATGGAATTTGTGATATGCTATTGGTAAAAGCAATTTTAAAAAAATTCTTTAATCTGTATTATCTAAGAATCTGGATTAGAGAAAAACATATTTTACTCTTGAACTGCAGATTAGCTAAATGATTTGTTTGGGGGGGTTGCTGAAAGCTATCCTAGAGACAAAGGCTGTGGATTTTATCATAGGGCTAAGTAAAAGTGTTTCTTGCCTTGTTCCACAGTATGTTAGACAGCAAAGTGAAATATCTATTTCTGATTACTAATTAATACTTATAGTTCAAAGAATAACTGTGCTGTAAGAAAAACCAATAATTTTTAGTAATTAATTATGTGTACATTTTTGCAGCAGATATCTTATTTAATGCTAAATATCATTCTTGTTGGACAGTTTGTAAATATAGTGCATGTAATTCCAGTTCATTTTGTGCTCTGCAAATCCATGACTGTAAACACTGATCCTACAAGTGATCTTGAGCACTCTTATTTATAATATTTGGTACCATTGAGAAGTAGAGAAATGTTCAAAAATGTTCATCAAATCTTATGAATTTGTTTACTTTTAGCTTCTGTAACTTGTTATAGCTATTTAGTTTGCTTAGATATAAATACTCAAAAAATGCTCCTTCCCCCCCCTCATTAAATATTTATATTCACATTCTCTGTATTAAAAGGTTATTCCAGTAAAGTTATCCTCAATTTTGCACATTAAACACTTTCTTGTTGTTAATGTCTATTAATTTTTTTCCCATTTAACACATTTAAATTAATATTTATGCTTAATGTGTTTGCTTTTCTTAGGTATAATTCTGGTGGAAAGTGCTTTAGTGAAATACAGACAAAGCATTTAACAGTAACCATTGATGCCTTCACAATACCAAACAGTCTATGGGCTGGCAAAAAAGTTATTCCTCCCAGGAAAGAATTCTTTTGACATAAATATTAATTTCCTTATGTTCATATTTTCACTGAAAAAATATACCTAATCATGCCTTAGTCTGATGTGTGCCAATAATGATCAACTAAAGCCAGTGTATTTGCTGGTGAGAGTAGTTATAATGACTGCTGTATCTACCAAACTGAAGAATATATCTTCAGCAATTCCTCTTCTATCATGAAAGAACTAACATAGTGAATGCATTCTGAAAACAGTCTGTACAGTTCAAGCTTTTATACTGATGTTTATTTGTCAATCTATACCTACTTTTTTATGTCAATATGTTTTGTAAATTTTTCATGAAGCTGTGTGATGTGGTTAATGCTTGCAAGTACATGAATGCTGTTAATTGTAAGAGTGTTCAGACTCTGTTCTTATTGGTGCTGTGTGTTAGCTTCGTCATTTGTATATTAAAATGTTTTACCTAACTTGTGATATGTTTGTTTAATAAGTACTTCATTAATCTCGCTTTACATTTTATAGAATATCACTGTAAAGTTTTAATGAAAGTGCCGAATTTTTTTAATTAAAGTTCTTTGTTATGTAGTTTTTAATGCAACTAAGTTATTTGTATACAGTTTTATATTATGTCTGCTTGAAATTTGAAATATTAGGTCTGCAGCATAATTAACAAGCAAGTTTTAGTTTTTTTGTGTGGATTTCTTTCTTTAATGATGTGATTTTTTTTAATCTTTTGTCAAATCTTTTAATTTTATACTTATTTATGAAAGAATGAATTATATTTTATTACTGTACATTAAATACTCCATAAGAATATTTTAATGGTTAAAAATATTTATATTTCAATAGTTTAATGTTTATGAGAAATAAGATATCTGTTATTTAAAATCATGTGTTAAATTTTTAATAGTAATATAGAAAAGTGTTATGCAATTTTGCAATTATTGTATGGTAAAATTAAATTCTAAATTAATTTTTTTCAGCTCTTCTGCTTTTCAATCATCTATTTGAAAAGTTATTTGAAGAGTATATATTACTGTTAATTTTTAACTGTGCTTAATGAATGTGAAAAATATTTTCTTAGTATTCTTATTGCCTTGTAAAAGATTCAAGTATAGTGGACAACTTTGGCCCATAAAAGTTTACTTTTTTTTAATCTATTAACATCTGTTAACTTCTCATATTGCTGTTTTCCCCCTGTATATTAATTTCCATTTCTGAGTAGAGGAACCTCAATTGAAAGGGTGATTTTTTAAAATTTATTTCAATTAAGGAAATGAATTCTACAAATAATTTTACTTTTCATAAATATCTCTAAAAGCAGGTATGGAAAATAACAGTGTAGAAATAGAAAAAAATTATGATAAGCAGAATATAAATGGTATTTTAATGTAGGTAAAATATACTTTAAAATTTTCTGTTTTAATAAGGCTTTAAATTTATGATAAATTGATTCTTAATAAATTTTAGCTTATTAAATTGGAGCAGTTTTCATGCTATACATATTTTTATAAATTTTTTGTTGTAATATTAATGTATCTTGAGCCAGATAGTTCTGTTTTTTAATGTTTAAATTATAATTACTTTTTAATAGCAACACTTCAAGAAGGATGCATTGTAATACATAAAACAATAAAATTGGGGGGTTTGTACTGAAAGATTATTGTTTTGGGACATTGTAGTGTAGTTTAAGAATTTTCAGTAGTTCATTACCTAACCTGAAATAAAACATTCGTTTTTAATCTTCTATTTAATGATTTTAAAAAATTATACATTTTGCGCAAAAAAAATCACTTTACACGTTACTCTAAAAGAATATGAGAGTTAGGCAGTTAATCATTGATATGTTGCATATTTGTTCTTCATAAGCTAACTGTTCAGTTTTTTTTAAAGAATATTTATGGTAATTAAATTGTATCAGGTATTTCTTGATAATTGGAAATTTATTGAAAATTATATTAATAAATCATACTACTTAATAATATATGTTCTTCTATAAGACATTTATATAATCAGTGTTATTTTTCTACGTGCACAGTAATAATCATACAAAATTGGACCATTTGTAATTTATTACGCTGCATAGTTCTCAGACTATGTGCACGATATCAGATTGTTTTCTTTTGAAAACATTCAGTCATTCTTATGTGAATGCATACTTATTTTATTAAAATTAAACAGGATAAGAAAGAAATATTTTTGTATTTTTCTTTTCTTTTTATACATGGGGAAATTTATTTACTTATCTAGAGAGAATTAATTTCAAGAACAAGAGAAGTAAAATGAGTTGCAAGAATCACAAGCCAAAAAATCTTGTGAAAAATATGTATTCTATTGAAAAAAGTCTCTGAAGATTTTTTTTAATTAGATGTTTTAATTATTTAATTCAGGTGTATTTGTGTTGAGTATATAACCCAGAAAGTAATGCTTAACATTCTTTATAAAAATGATGTGCCACTATATCAGTGCAACATTTTAAAAAAAAAAAAAGATTCTTTTTCAGTGCTGAATGTCAAATTGTATGAAGTAAATAAAATAAAATCTGGAAAAGATTGTCAATAACCAGCAAGTTTCATTTAAAAGGTTTTGATGCAAATACCTTGTAGTATAAAAATGACAAATTGTGATTTTAACTTTGCCAGTCTGCAAATGTTAATGGGGTGAAAAACATAGTATATTTAAATTATAAAAAGATTATTCTGTTGTTTGTAAAAGTTTATTTTATAGAAAAATATCAAAACTATAAATTAAGTATATTAGATTTAGGAATCTTGGCAAATTATTATTTTGTCACTTACACCCAATGTGAAAATCATTAATTTTCTCTGAATGTGGATATGCATCATACGTAATAGTATTTCTTTTAAAGTGGAATCTTGCTTTAAATTGCAAATAAATAAAGATTTGTAAATTAATAATTTGAAAATAATTATGTTTTTATATCAAAATGTTCATTATATAAATTTTTTTTTTTTTTTTCTTTCTGTAGCAATACCTGGTAATCAGTTTCATAAGTATTTTAGTTGTTTGAAATTCGACTAATCAATAAACTAAATACAATAACTATTGATAAAACTGTAATGACAATTGATATTGGGATCAACACTGAAATTGATTTAGGTTTGACAAGGTTTCAAACATACGAGTAATTTTTTATAGCTGTTCTGCTGTTGATTCTCATGCAGGCATTTTAACACAATCATTGTCTAAGTTATTGTCCCATTCTTCATAAGCCTGTTGTTCATCTGTGTTAATAAATGTTTTATCATCTAGTTCATTAGTGTTCGATTTGACATATTCAGTTACCTTGAGAGAATTTAACTTCATCTTATCTTTCCAACAATATTCAAGACTTCAAGAATATAAAGGGGGCCTAAGCATAGGTGCATACATATACAATAGGGAACGCCAGGAAAAATTTAAATGTTCATCATATTGTATAACTTAAGAACTGCATGAATATAAACCACACAGACAGAAATTTTATTGCATAATGATGAGAACAATCATTTGTGCTATGGCAAATAATTTTGTGTACTAATTATTTTAGAATTTAATTTTATTTTACTGAATGAAAATTTTGTTTGTTTTGAAATTTTTCAAGCAGCACTCTAGTGAATTTGGCTAGAGAACTAATCAGAATTAGGCTACGTGAAGAACTATATTTTAAACTTATAAAATGCTGTTATTTAAACTGTATGTTATATTAAATATTTATTTTTATTCTATATTATTTATTAAACTGTTCTGTAATATATACAGTTTAGTTTAAATTACTGAATTTAATACAGTTTAATTACTGAATTTAAAATACACTGTAAATGACTATTTTTAAAATACAGTTCTTTAAAGTGTATTTTAAATTTCAGATTTATAAGATTTATCACTTTGGATAAATTTCACCACCACATTAATTAAAATGTAAGAACATTAATTTTCAAAATTATGTAAAAGAGGATTTATCATCTTTTTTATGTTGTTAATTGCATGTTTTTCAGTTTTGATTATTCAATGCATTATAATATTCCCACTTGTACATTTTGCAAGTAAATACAGAAATCTGATATGGCATGATGAATTTGGCTACATAACGATGACTGAGATATGTAAAATAGAAACTTCTATGTAAAAGCATGTTATCTGAGTAGAGTTAATTCTGCATATTTATAAAAAGATTGGGGAAGTATATATATATATTTGGGGGGGGGACAGCTAAGGAATTATTTTTTGTGACAAATTGCAATCCTCATTTAATCTGAGTTTTATTATAGAATGCATTGTTTTATTTGGTTACCTTTCATACTCATTCTCTGAAAATTGTATTTTATATAGATATCAACCTAATAAATGTAGTTTCTTAAATTAAGCAGATTTTCATGCCCTTATATTAAAATACTTATTTGTATCATAAGTGTAATAGAGTTATTAAATTATTTTCCTAACTCTATAAAAATGCAAATGTAGAAGAAAGTTAATTTACAATTTCGTAAATTTTCTTGAGATGAATATTGTCCCCTATTATGCAGAGTTATACAAGTATAAGAAAGAAAGGGAGGGAAGGATTAAAGAACATTGTAAGAAATTTATTCAAATATGTCATTTATTTGAGAGTAATCTTAATAAATAAAAGAGATTGGTCATTCCAGAAATTTTCGAAATTCTGTTTAATTTTGTTAACTTAGTATGATTTTTGTTCCCATATTTTGTTCAGCATTCTTTGGGAAGGGGGAGGAATTATCTAATTTCAAAGTACTATAGTTTTAAAAATTAAGTAAACAGAAAGATAATTATTACATGAATGTAAAGAGAAAATGTCTAAATTTTAACTTGTAAGAAATAAGGTCATTAGTTTGTCATATAGAAAGTCCTTTTTGAGAAGAAAATTAAATTGGAATCTAAAACGCGAACTTTAATGAATTAGTTTTAAATAGCTACATCTTAAATTTTAGTATTATTCCTTGTGACTTCTTCCATTGTGGATGTAAGAAAGATTAAATATTTGAGCAATTTAAGCTCACAAGGCCAAATGCATTTTAAAATTGCAATTAATCTGCAGTTAACATTGATAATTGGAAGTGTTGGCAGGAATTTTCATATCATTTTGACTGCATAACCAAGGAAAGTTATATCAAACATTTGCAAGTAAATCTTAGATAATTTTTCTTTACATTGGTGTATTCCTTGGTATCCTTCCTTGTTAATTTTTTAAACTGTAAAAATTAAATCAGATGATTCTTTTTTAATTACCCTATATTTGATTTTCAAGAAAATGGCAAGAATGAATTTGAAAAAGCATATCAGATTAAATATCTCAACTAGACCAGTGTAAAATAATGCCGGCCACATGAAACAAAAAATCATTTTTATACCTACCAATGTAAAGAGTGAAAAAATGAATAAATACATAAAAATCATACTAAACACTGATATGATATGACACTTCTTTAAACAAAATAATAGAAGGAGCATAAAGAAATCTAGATGGATACCTATTGTTTCTTTCCCGACACCTGGCATCCTTTTCCTGCAACCAGCTTTCGGAAGTCTGGAGGCGCACCTTTAGCACTAATAATTTTCAGAACAGAGATCAGATGAATGTCTTTAACCTCGATTTCTTTGAGAACTTTTTTCTTTACTTAAGTTGAAAAAGATGTTTGAACTGGTACGTACTACTGAGCATAGAAATCAGGTATGATGGAAATTTACAGTTTTCTGGGAACTGCACTGCAAGTATTTGTAAAATTTGGGGATAGCCACTTAACTGATTACCTTTGCTTTCTGAATTTTTGCTT